TTGTGTGCTTGTGTTGGTATGGATGTCAGAGTGTGGTTTGTACTGTATGTCTGTACTAAAAAATTGTGTATGTGTCTGTGCACCTGTAATGTTTGAGAGAGAGAAATTACACTGTACTGCGAATCACAAATCCCACTGCCGAGTACACCAACAAAATATAACTAAAAACAAAATCTTATTAAAAGATTATTTTTTGAGATATCAACATCAAATTTGGAACACAACTTATTTAGATTTAGTGCTTTGATTTTCTAGCAATTTATGAGTTCAGCATTGTGACGAGTGGGGCGTGGGCTGAGAGCCGTGGGAACGGAGCGAGGCCGGTGGAGTAAATGCTAATGCACGACACCTGCGCCACTCACCGGTCTCGACCCCGCCCCTCTCGTCACAAGCATGTTTTATAAAATATAAATCTTATGTAAAAAATGTGCTCATAAATCGTTTTCATAAATTAAATATAACTTTTTTTTTCACTTTTTTAAAACTTTGTTACTTCAACAATAATCTGACAAGGGTCTTATTTAAAATGAGACCTTAATGAAACGTAAGTCTGTACTTCCAAGCTTCAAATGTTTATGACAATTATTTGACAATCGACATTTGTGTCCTCTAAGGACCTCAGAGTAACTTTTGTAAGTTGACGCACAAGGGTTAATTCAGAAATATATGTGACCCTGGACAACAAAACCAGTCTTAAGTCGCTGGGGTATATTTGTAGCAATAGCCAAAAATACATTGTATGGGTCAAAATTATTGATTTTTCTTTTATGCCAAAAATCATTAGGATATTAAGTAAAGATCATGTTCCATGAAGATATTTTGTAAATTTCCTACTGTGAATATATTAAAACTTAATTTTTGATTAGTAATATGCATTTGCTAAGAACTTCATTTGGACAACTTTAAAGGCGATTTTCTCAATATTTAGATTTTTTTTGCACCCTCAGATTCCAGATTTTCAAATAGTTGTATCTCTGCCAAATATTGCCCTATCCTAACAAACCATACATCAATGGAAAGCGTATTTATTCAGCTTTCATATGATGTATAAATCTCAATTTTGAAAAATTTACCCTTATGACTGGTTTTGTGGTCCAGGGTCACATATATATCATTATGGAAGTAGAATGAATTGCATGTTACTAACATTTATTTGACATTAATGTTCATGGTACACTTAGCCTAAGCACCAGTAATTTGCATGTTATTATATATCTTTAACAAATTCAAGCCTCAGCAAATTATACTTCAAGTGGAAGCAATATGTGCCCATATGGAGACAGTGAGGGAAAAGCCACTGTAACTTTATACAGGCTGCTTGTATAAAGTGTATGTCATGTCATAAAGATATTTGATCTGTTGATATATCATGAGACTTAATTAAAATTTCTATTACAATTATGAATCTTTTATGAAGCACTTAAAACACTCTTGATAACATTATTAAATCTTTTAGATTTGTGACAAGCAGTTAAATACATGGTTTCAGAATCTAGGATTATCAGACAGTTCCACTATATTGACTTTCCTACTTGATTGAACTGTCAAACTAGTGGACATTTTGCCTGTCCTAGGATGGATTTAAAGTTGCCTCAAGTCCTGTAACTAGAGCTAGATTTTCCAGATCAGGTGATTGACACTCTATCCAGGTGTGTGCTGTCCTCAACCGGGTGTCACATTACCCAAGGCCACCGCGGCATGAGGGCCTTCTACCAAGTCAGAGCTGGCTTTCACTAACCAATTCAGAAAGTGTTACTGAGACCTGTTACAAAGACTGTAATTTGACCAATTAGCCCTGTGGCTAGCACACTGCCATTTGGTCAGAAATCAAAGCTGACCTGCTGTCATGTTAATCAAACTATAAAAGCTTGTGGGATTGCAGGGATGACATGAACGAAAGAAATGACCCCTCACAGTATTGCATTTGTGCTGTGCTGGTTGCGATTTGTGTAGCAGCTCTGCTTCTACAAGCTGTTTTGAGTGTTATTGCATCGTTTGTCAACGTTTGGAAGTGTCTGAACTTCCAGAGTCACGCCAAGCTGTGTTGATCCAGCATCAGACTCATGGACTGCTCATCTGTCAGTCTGAAAGGCATACAGTGAGCTCTTGCACCAGGACAGGCAGGATTTAGTGGAGGGTAGAACGAGTTTGGCCGGGTATCAGTCGGGCAAAGTTGCATGTTTGGCCTGCTGCGTTTCTGTCTATTTTCGGTGGCTCTGACTCCCAGTATCCCATGGTTACCAAACACACAAGAGGCCAATGAGGTTTTGGCTGGCCAATTACCATGGCGGTGATGGAGGGGGAAAAAATGAAGAGAACAACAAGAGCTAGCAAAAACATGGAAGGGGAAAACGGGGGTATCAAGGGCACTGTGAGGATGCCAAACCTAGCTTATTATCATGCAAGGGACTCTGTAATCTCGGCTGCCTTCTCCCTGTCTGTTTATCTGGTCTGAGACCGACTCGTCTCCTGCAGTTCTGGGCTTTGAGTGCAATGGTGTCCGCCAGGATTTGATGCCTACTGCGCCAGACTGCTCAGTGGCCCTGCCAGAACTGCTGCTCTGTTTAAAACAGATAGGAAGTGCTCATTAGAGGGCTCATAAGTCATTTATGACTGCAGAGATTTTTATTATTTGGTGAGGGACTCACCATCAACACATTGACACAATATGCTGTGGTGTATTTACACCAAGCAATGGCATATTTGTAACGTAAAACTGCTGCGCACTGTCTCCAGCTTCATTCTTCTCTTCTTCTGATTGTAATTCATTTGAATTGTATGTTTGACACTTGTTATTTAAAAAGGAACTCTATTTACATGTCTCATTCATGTCAGATTACAAATTAGAAGTTATCCAGGTGAAAGGAATGGAATATGACAGGCAAATGATAAAGATGACAGTTCCTGGTTTTAAGAAAGCTCTTTCCTGTCGCTGTCTTAGACGGATATTGAGTTTCTCAGAGAGTTTGTAGAAAAGCTTTGACATCCTCAATGCCGAGGTTACACCATATCCCCCAGATATTGTTTTGGAGATGGGGGGGGGAGAGATATAATGCCATTTAGGCAAATTAAAGGGCGGCCAGGAGACTTGGCATTCAACAGCGGAGACTGTATCCTGTGGGCCGGGGGAGACCGCAAATTCCTCATAGGATTACAGGATTAGGAATCTGAAAGGTGATGCAGTTTCTCACAGATGGGGGAAATAAAAAGGACAAGGCTGGCAGAGGAGCGATCCCTCATTAATGTCTGCTTCCCGTTAATTAAAAACTACTGATTGAATGATATCGGAGAGGATTAGGCTGAGGGGTGACTCCTGAAACACGCACACATGCAAGTCTTCCCAAAGCATGCTGGGATGTCTTAGGTGAGGGCTGTGCATGGCAGATAAAAGTCTTGCCTGCCTGGCTCTTTCAAGAGCTGGTGAGAAGTTAAGTGATGCATTCCTCTTGGCTGATTAGAGGAGGAACAAAAAAGTGCTTCCAAATAGTGTGAGAGGTTGGCAGGTCACCATTATAAGGTTTGCCAATGGACTGCATAATTGTCTGTGGTCATTTAAGATAGCTCCTGTGGTTCTCGAATTAGTTTTAAGAGCAATACATTAAAAAGACAAAACTAAAGTTCTCCTTCTGCCAGATACATCTTTGTTGTGTGTGTGTGTGTTTTTTGTTGCATTTTTGGCACTATTATTCATAAAACAGTGGAGAACAGTGAAATTAGGGGGTGATGAGAGAGAAACAGGATTTGGAAATGTTACAAGCCAGTTCTGAGCTCCCATTGCCAGGCCCAGTAGGTCAGAGCTTATGCACTAGGTAACATGCATTGACACATCAGAACACCTTAGAAACCGCTTACCGCTGTCCTGAAAACGACCCACAACACCCATGCACCATGGTGGCAAGTTAACACAATGAGAAGTACCTCACATTTTCGTCAAAATGTAAAAAATGTATTTGGCTTTGATTACAAGATTTTTAAAAATTAGTTAAGTCATTAGTTTAATCGTACCTAAAGTGACTAAAATTTTTTGTAATAATTTTTAAGTCTAATGTGCTTTCTCTCTGTGGTATATAGTTCAGCTCAATTCATCTCACTTTCACTGTTGTTTGGAGACAGATCTTTCATCACTCCAGGATGTCATCTTTCAAGGGCACTTACATAAACTCTTCTAAACTATTTTCCCACATTTGTCTTTCCATGCATTTCTTTGGTTTATGTAAGAAATCCTTTCATTCGCTATGCTCTGACCCAAACAAACCAAACTCCAAGAGACTAAATTGTCTTCTACTGATGTAATCAAATGTGTGAGTGCCAAAGTAACAACTTATTCCTACAACTTTCTTTAAAGCTCTTTAAACATTTAAATACTCTTTTTACAGTGGTTCTCAGCAGATTTTTCCTCTTCTATTTTTATGCAGTAACATAAATAGGTACATGTAGTATTTTCTAAAGGTACATTTTGAATTTGGTCTCTTTCCTGTTGTGAGCCTGTTGAAAACACTGGGACCCCAGATGTAAACTAATCTGAAACCGCAGCATAGACTGTCTTAGCCTCAGCTGCAGGGCTCTGAAATGGAAGTTGACCTGCTGAAAAACAAAACTGTGGTTAAACTTCATTACCGCCTGTAGCTGTTGGCTTTGAAAACAGGATGGCTTTACAGAACATATCCTAGTATCAAGTGCTGATCTTGCAATACGTTATTTCTAACAGACCAAACCACAAGTCTCAAAGGCTTGCACAATGATGCACAGTATTATAAGCTTTCAGTAGGTGTGGCCCACAAGCTGAGAACTTGGCAGCTAAACAGTAGTTTGTTATCAGTAACAACATGTAGGTTCCTAGTTATAGTTTTTTATATGGGGTGTGATTGTTTCTCTGTCAAGTTACCTAGTGTAAGAATATGATGAGCATGTGTAGGTTTACTCTTCAAATGTTTCTTAGTATGAGCTGGACATAATGTTGGTTCGTTTTCTAAATTATTTATTTTGTCTTTCATTTTCAGACCTACAAGAGGCCTTATAAACTTATGGATAAAACTGACAATGTGATGATGGATAACGCAAAACCAAAGCATGAGTCTAAAAGCAGTGACATTCACCACCTTGACTGGACAAAGCCGTTGGATACTGTTAAAAAAGCAGTGTCCCGAGAACAGCATGGGACAGAACCAGAATTAAAAAGAGAATCAGCGTGCACCAACAAGAGCCCTTTGTCAGAGCCCAACACCCCATTCTCAAAATCGCAAGTTAAAAAGGTCACAGACAGTTCATCTGGAAGTCTCTTTGCTTCTGCCATGTCTTCCCCAAGCACTGACTCACTAGCATCATCTCCAGTTGATACAGTAATGAGTCCCCCAGCTGACTCAAGTCTGTTCTCTTTTAGTAAAGACAGAGGTTTGCTGGAAGTCACTGAGCAAGTTTTTGGGAACATCAAACGTAAATATGGAAGGAAAGACCCAATGAAGGCCTCGACCACGCATAATTTAGGCCTTCAGTGGGCCAAAAAGATGGACAGAGATACTGAAAACCAAGATAATGCTAAGGTGAAACAACCATACAACACTGATAAAAGTGAATTTGAGACAGAGGAGCCTGAGAAGTCGAGCAGTAGGCAGGATGATGAGAATAAGACAACATCAAGCTGTGGCACTCATCATGCAGATGAATCTAGGAGTAAAAAGCGAAGAAACAGAAAAGTAGGTGACGATAACAACTTGTTATCTGATGCACAAACCACACAGCAAGCTGAGAAGACTGATAAAACTGACCAAGGGAGCACAAAACCTAAAATTACAAAGAAAATAGAATTCAGTGCACCAAAACAATTTGGTGTAAAGTTACAGGAGATTGAGGAAGACAGTGCTGAGACAGTGACTGATGATGTTGAGATGTTTCAGAATAGACCGAGGAAAACACCAGCTGGGAGACAAAGATCAGTGATTGATGCCGACAAGCAAACAGAGGGTAGGCAATCAAAGTTCAAGGACAGGTGGTCTTATTTAAAGTCCCAGAACTCCTCTCCTCATAAAGACTTTAATCAATCTCTGTCCATCGAAGAGCCACCCTCTGCCTTCCCTATTACCCCATCCAGCCCACTCTACACAAACACAAACAGTTTGACAGTCATTACCCCAGTGAAGAAGAAACGTGGCCGGCCCAAAAAACAGCCGTTACTTACTGTGGAGACAATTCACGAAGGAACTGCAACAAGCCCTATTAGCCCTATTGCCCAAAATTCATCCAGCACTTCAAAAAGGAGAAAGAAGCATAACATGTCGAAATTGGTGCAGTTGGCCTTCAACAAATCCCCTCCGGCACAGCAGTTAAAACTCAAGAAATCAGGTCAAGAAGGTGTCCTTAAAAAGAGGGCACCTAAGAAAATGAAACTGGTCAAGATGCAAAGCATTTTGAATGAACTTTTGACCACTTCTAGTCCTGGCAATCTTGCCTTGAAGTCCAGTGTTCCGGTTTCAAATGCCATGTCGACTGTGGCATCGACAATCGAGGCCCGTTTTGGCAAGCAAATCAATGTCAGCAAGCGTGGGACTATTTACATAGGCAAAAAGCGGGGAAGGAAGCCCAGAATTAATCTTCATACCCAGCAAAATGAGCACAAAGCCAGTGATAAGCACCCGTTGCCTATTTCTAGTCCATTTGAGAACCCACTAGTGCCTTCTAACATATCATCCACTACCGGAATGCCTTCTCCCAGGGTCATGCATTCCCTTTCTTCTCCCTCTGCAGCAGGTGGGACGGCTCACCCTGCCACCACGGATACCAGCCAGCATGACCTGAAGACAATGCCAAATCTACAACCTATCAGTGCATTGCCCACGAAAATGTACAAGGGCTTGCTTAGTAGTAACTGGAAGCTGTCTCCCCCAAGACTAATGGCCAACTCACCATCCCACCTGTCCGAAGTGGCTTCCATTAAAGAAGTCACCCTATCTCCAGTTAGTGAGTCCCACAGTGAAGAGACAATCCCTAGCGATAGTGGAATAGGCACCGACAACAACAGCACATCAGACCAGACCGAGAAAGGCCCGGCATCCCGCCGGAGATACTCATTTGATCTTTGCAGTTTTGATGCCACTGAGACCGCTGTTTTAGAGGCAAAAAGCAAAGCAGCGAGGGGGCACTTCCAGAAGTGTGTGACTGGAGTCGCTGTGGAAAATTTCTTTGCTCAGGAGAGCCTGAAGAAGCAAAAACATCGGAGGAAACGCAAGGCCCTCCAGAACCGGGACGACCTGCAGTTTATGGCTGACCTCGAGGAGCTGGTTAGCAAATTCCAGTTATTCCGAATCTCCCACCGCAGCTACAAGTTCTACCATGAGAATTCCTATCCCAGCATCTTCCGGCTCAACTTTGACCAATACTATCCTATGCCATACTATCCCTACGACCCTGTGCACTATCTTCGCAGGAGCTCTGATAAGTCAAAGAGGAGGCGTGGTCGGCCAGCCAAGTCAAACGAGCCAATATCAAAGATGCCTTTCATTCAAGGGTTTGGCTGCACAGTGCCCGGTGGCAATTACTATGCACCCTACGCGATGCCTTACACATCCATGCCTCTTGCCACAAGTATGGTAAACATGGGCTATTACAGTCAGTACCCTTCACCCTTGTACTTATCTCATGCTCTTGGACCTTCAGCCTCTCCATTCATGAGGCCACCAGTCCCTCCACCAAAGTTCCACCCTGGTGCGTCCTCTAGTCTCGCTGCTCCTAGCAGACATCGAGCGAAGAATATGCCACATGAGATGCCTTCATCTAGAATGAGTGACTCCCATCACCCTTCAAGCAGCTGTTTGGGAAGCGTCTGTCTCCACAAACGCAAGCACAAACATAAGTACAAACATAAAGAGGATCAGTACATCCCACAGAGGGAGAACCTCTGTGGGCTCTTCAGTGGAACCCAGAGTCCTGCCTTCCTCAACCTCTTGAATGAGAGACTTGAGAAGAACTCTCTGTCCAAACTGAAGGACAAGCAAAGAGGCAAGCAAGGCACAGATGCTTCGCCAGAAACTTCCAGGAACTACTTTGAAGTAGACACACTCTCATCATTGTCCTTATCTGACTCTCAGCATTGCAAACGCACTCGAGGAGAGACACTGAACAACTTCCTGAACATCTGCACCAGACAACCACACGAGCGCCTGCGAGCAAGCCAGGACCATTCGCTGGACTCATTCAAGGGGCAGCACTTAGGGGATGATGATTCTAGTGTTCACATCAGGAGGCATTGCTTGGAGGACTTTGCAGCATACAGAGAAGGAAGCATGGTGTCTTTCCAAGGAGGCAGAGAAGAGAGGGCCGAGCAGATGTACCAGTGCTCCAACACGGCTGTAGCAGGTAAAAATATATATGTCTCCATGAAATGCATACAGACAATGCAAGATCCATACAAGATATTGATTCGCTTATTTTTTGTTATAAATGAACATTATGAACATGAACATTTGGTTTACCAAGCTGTGATTAGTTGGATGCAAGTGAAATTATGTTCGGCTATTAAATACAAAATGTAGAGAAACAAATGTGCTTTCTGAACACTTCGTATTCTGTTTTCAGTACATCTGGCAAGCAAAGTGTAATGCATGGATGGAGACAACTATAATTCACAAATTTCTCTTTCCTCCCTTTTCGCCCCTGCCTGCCAGTGTTTTTTTCTTAGAGATATATTATTCACACGTTTTGATTTATATTCTACAGACATGCAATAAAAAAACCTTGCCTCTTGTTAAAAGAGCTGGAGAGAAGCCAGAGGTTTAATGAATCCAGTCTACTCCACTGAAGGGGAATTGCAAGCCCTAGGCACAGTTAGATTACATTTTCACTCCTCTAGGGGAACTATGAGGATGACTCACAATTCTGCCTGCTACCACCCACCTCCATGAATTAACTCAATGCTTCAAAGAACTAGTTTGTTGTACTTAAACAGAGAAATATGACATCCCACCTAAGTGTACATCTGTGTTGATTTCAAAGAACAGATTTAGATAAGCATGTTTTGACAGAACTGTTTTTTTATGGCAGTCACATTTTTTGCCAGTGGCATTATAGCTAGCCTGCAATAAATTGCAGCAAAATGGGGTTTTTATATGCTCAAATTTGCATTTAAGGTCACATCTAATTTACAATTAATTAGTTCTATTTGCTACGGATTCATGGCATGATGACAGCACCTTTTTTTATAATTAGGCTATTAATCATTGTGATGGGAGTGTCTAGTTTGGAGCAGATGTTTTTCCATAAAAACATTATATTTTGTTGCCTAACTTAACTATGTCCCAATTAAAGATAGATAGATAGATAGATAGATAGTAATATATTACATGATATTTTAACAATTAATTGTGTGGGTTCTCATAGGTACATTCCACAAAGAATAAGGTGATGTAAAATGCTAAATAAATGTCTTCATTAGAAATATCACCCTTTGACAGGCTCTTGAAAGTAATTCATCATACATCAGTGAGCACATATGGTATGGATTGAAATTCTGACGGGGCTCTCAATGTACAGATCAACTCTCTAAACCCTCTTTATGTAAGGCAGGCTTTAATGTAAAACTTAATGCCACTCATTTGCTAGCACAGGAATTACACAAAGGATTTGCCTTTGATCGTACTGGTATAGCGTTTCATCTTTCTTTACACTGCACTTAAGACTCCAGCAAGCAAGAAAACCCCTATTAAAACCATTACTAATGACGAGTTTTCAATCAGGTCTGCACCCACATTTGCTTAAGGATTTTGTGTATTAAATGAGTAGCTTGCCTTGACAGTCGACTAGAGAATTTGCAGGAACAAAAAAATGTGATCTTACACCACTGTATTTTTTTTGTAAATCGCTTACCTTTGAACTGTGGAATTCGGTTGCCATGGCAACAGGAAGTAGGCCTCCACTACTGTGTAGAGCGGAGCTGTGGGGACCGTGGCAAGGCAAGTCCATAAATTGCTGCCTCTAATGAAAACATTGTGCACAGGATGCAGGTAGAGGTTTCAGGGAATAAATGAGTTGTCACACTCCCTTTGAAAATGAATGTCTCTGTCCAATGATTTGTTGGCACTTGGGAAGACTCTGCAAGTTTCCCAGTGATAAACTGAGGCCAGAGAGGGAAGGGCTCATGTTTAGTCAGGCACACATTTTACTTTATTGAAACCAAATGGGCTGAAGGAGCCCATGCACAGCTGGTTATAGTGACCCATGCACTTTTTAAAAAAATTTTTTTTAGCTTGCATTCAAAATAGCCCTGGCGAGCTTCAATTGAATTATATTATTAAAATTGATCAATATAGAAATGCATCGTTTAGGAAGTGTGGTTGCTATTTTATTTAACAATGCACTTAAATGCTAAATTAGATATTTGAGGATGGATTTTGAATTATTATGGAGCATATCCTGTTTTGGGGTTTGCACAGGTGCACTCTTAAGACAGTCTTAAGAGAAACCTGGAAATGCATAGAACGCCACTGATCTCAAACATCTTCCACAATTACAGCTCTTGTTTGTTTTCATGGAAACCTACCAGATGGAGTGGCAATCAACAAGAAAAGAGAAAAAGAGACCTCTCCAGAGATATGAAAGACGTGCAGGAGAGATCTTAGATGTGGAACACACATTTTAGGCACTTTTAGGCTGTCTGAACTCATTTCAAACAAGGCTGCCAGAAACCCAGCATTTCCTTTGGTCTGGGCTTCCTTCCAAAGCTCCAACGTGAAGTGTAGAGGCAGTAAATTAATCACAAATGTATCTGAGGCCTCATGGTGTATTACTCACATTTACAGATGCATCTATTCATTGTGAATGTGAACGCTGACTATATTTACTGATAGACTGATAAGTGGGAGGTTCCTGATTATGTGCATGGATGCAGTTATCCACATGTCAAGTGTTAAGTGAGCTGTTGCTTCACAATCTTCTCCCCTTGTGGGGCATTTTTCACATGTTCGCTTATTAACGCTTCGCTCTGTTAGACTGACAGCCGATAATGATAAACTGCATGACTCAACAAGCTTGGCTGTATCAATTGCTATCAGATCTGTATATACAAGAATATTTATACACCAGCTAATACAAATTAGAGTGTTGACACATTGGATTGTCACATCATTAAGCACAGAAGAAAGTTTGTCTCTCTCGGTCTGGCTGCATACGTCATGACTCACTCTCGGGTCTTGAGTTTACTTTAGAAATATCACTGCTTCAGCTAGCGAGATGATGTGCGAATCAATTATATTATAACAAACGACTTGCCAAATGTTTACCAGGCTGGCTTAGCACATTTTTCACAATCAGTGTCTCATTTTAGCTAGAGATGGGAACCATAAAGAATTTCATTATTTCAGTTCCGATTCCTCTTTAATGATTCCAGTTCCTTAATAGTTCCATTAATGATTCTTTTAGTACTTTTAGGGACTAAATATTTGGAACAAGAAATGCAATTCTGTTGCCAAATAATGAGATAATTGTAATAATAAATTATTTTTAAAAAAGGTTCTTGCAAAAGGACTTTTAATGGCTTTTTAAATATCTTTTTAAAAGACAGGCGGTATTAATGAAGTCCAATAACTGTCCTTAACTACATATTGAAGAATACTACACACATACTGACAAAAACATACAAAATGATGTATCTATAACGACACACTGTCAAATGAACAACCAATTACAGATTAAAATCTAACAGGTAGTTGTAAAAGCTGTATGTGTTTGATTCTTTAAATAGTCATTCATTAGAGCCATTTATTTGGGAGTCACAACTGTGCTGTATATTTTGTGCGGTATTAGCAATGTTGCTGTGTCATTGAATAAGAAATGCAGGAAACTTGAGTATTTTATTTTGTTGTTCCAGAAGCAAAAACCGTTAAGGAAACCAAACTTTCAGTCATTCAGCTCTAATATCGTTTTTCAAAACAGAACTGGTTCTGAATAAGCGTTAGCTTGTCTTTCTCATTGATTTCTTTTGTCCATTCCTCACCAGACCCCAGTTCCTACAAGAGGAGGCACAAGCGCAAAGAAGTGGAGGAGATCCAGTGTGACGTGCAAAAAATGTGTGCCTTCTCCAAGATCCTCACCACCAAGAAGAACCTGGATCACGTCAACAAGATTCTGAAAGTCAAGAGGCTTCAGAGGCAAGCCAAGACAGGGAATAACATGGTGAAGAGACGCAGAGGGAGGCCGAGGAAGCAGCCGCTTTCTCTCGAGGAGGGATTGCTGGGTCAGATGCCAGTTCTAGAGAAGTGTGTGGATCTTCCTGGGAAGAAGAACCTTCACACTGGTCTGGTTCCTGCTCAGCTTGAGTTCTCCAATCACGACTCCATCACAGATGCCATTGAGTCAGTGGTACACATGGCCAGATCCCAAACCAACACGCTGTCCACGCAAGGATGCAAGCACTGGTACAAAGTTCAGCCGGAGCTCCAAATCGAGCGCCCAAACCGCAAAGGAAGAGGGAACAAGAGAAAAGAAGCTACTCTCACCTCACATTAGAGAAGTCATGACAGTGCACTGTGAGTTAGCCTTGTGCTTGGGTCTTTGTATCGTTTTTTTCAGTTTGTTTTGATCTGAATTCTACTGACACATTTTGATGGGCATTCGCTGAGAATTTGGATCATGGTTGTGGTCTAAAAAGCTCCGCTTTCGGTTTGTACGATTCTGTCGCATACTTTTTTATTGGTCTCAAGGAGACAAACTAAACTTTTACTCTCCCAAAGCCCATAACCATGAGGATGTTGAAACTATGGCTGTAGCCATAATCTACCAGCACATGTAAATGGACTTCAATGACAGTACTGTGCACTTTTTTTCTTTCTCGTTTTTCGTTTCACTCAAGCACAAAGCACAGATCTTCTGGCAAAGGTTGATTTCGAACAACAGGTCACCGGTAACTCACTGCTAACAGATGCTTACATAGGTTTGCCTGCGCTCAGGTGTGTTTCAGGCATGAACTAATGGCAATACTTTTGGATGAAACCCTTTTCAGTGATGTTTTGATGGCTATCATTTCACTGTACATAGCAACATATTCTACTAACATTTCAAATTCAAAGTATTTTAGATCTACCTATACTGTCAGCATTTCAAATCAAAAACCATATAAAGTTTGAAATTGTTTTTTTTGTTCTGTTTTTAACCAAATAGAAGTAGAAAGCTTGTTCAAATGGAAAAACGAAACATATTTAGTCGTGTAATCTTAACGAAGTGGAATCACTGCAGATCGAAGGCTTGTTGATGACACAGGACATCAAAACACATGCCAGTAGTTCACAACAGGCTCAATGAAAAATGCTACGGTTGCATTTAAAACCAACAAAGCACTTAATTATTTTCTTTCTTTTTTGTAGAACACGTTTGAGTGGGCTGAAGTTGTACACAGTGTCACAGTTGGTTTTTCGCTTTAAATAATCAGCATCTGGATTATATTTTCATTATTCGAGTCGCCTTCTCCAGAGTCTCTTTGAGAATGTGCCTGCTCTTGTTAACTAAACAATAATAGTATGTCTATATACCTGTCAGTATTACATATCCACATGACCAAAGTTTCAGTGTAGTCGTGTATCATAGGATAGATCGGTTTCAGTTTAGCCGCTTGTGTATATTACTATGAATGGTGTGGTGGTGTGCTTATTTGTCGATTAGTCGTTTGGAAAAATAAACCAGAATGTACACTGAAGACTATTTAGGTGATCGTCCTGAACATAGGACATCACAAACTAATCAAATACATGTCCTGTTTTAGACTCGAGTTACACTGATACAAGCGATTTGGAAACAGGATAGATTTGAATGTGGTCCTAATTTGAATAGCTTTCCATTTGTTAATGATTTCTTGGTTTATCCATATATGTGCCTTATGTTTGTCTATAAATCCATAACATGTTCAGGTACTGGAACACATAATGGCAAGATATCAGTCTAAAATGTACATAATAGTTTGCTGCCCTGGTTGTAATGTGTTCATCATCTCGGTACACCTTCACAGGTCTCGGTACAGTATAATATAGGCTTCATTTTGACTGTATACATATATTTATATGCATAAATATACAGTTCAGTGAGCAGACAGCACATCTAGTACACCTGAAGACACTCAAAATATCTCTCTAACCAAACCCACGCAGGATTGTTAACATGAATACATGCTTATTTACTATGCATCAGGTTATTGCTGTGAATCCACTGACGCATAACTCTTTAGCATCGACTCTTTTGTAAGCTTTCTGTTAAATGAAGTAGTCTTACTGAAATTTGAAGTCTGAACCGTTCAAATGAATAGTGCTAAATCTGACTATCATTTCTTTTGCAATTCTAGTCATTGTGTAGGGGAGGAAAATCAGCCTCTAAGCAGTGCAGCCTTAATCAAATCTTCAATTCAACAAGTTGTCCCCTGTAAATAGTCTACCATCTGTAGGTTGCTGTGAATCATGCCTAAGAGTCATGTCAATATGTTGCACCCACAGTTGTCCAAAGAGGACACATATAGTTGCTGAACATGCCATGAACCATTCTGTCCTTGTGATAATTTGCAGTGCATTAAAGCTAAATAAAAATAATATATGCCGGCAGCTATTTGCCTCAGCCAGTTGTACTGGACCTTTTGTTGGATGCGTCCATTTGCGCTGGTTCCGCTAAACACCTGCGAACATTTGCCAAAAATGTTGACCTTTTATTAGTGCTTTAAGCACCGAAAAGCTATGTTTTAACACAAAATGTACACCGTAGCAGTTTTCTGAAACATGATTATAATAGGTTAGTTAAACATGGCTTTGGTAACGAGGCCTGGCAGCTCAAATTTGCTCTGCTTCTATGCTTTTTAAAATGCCAGATATATTTTCTCCACCAGCTGATAAGTGGTGCCTTGTGAAGTTAAGTGTATTTTTTTATGTTCCTGCTCCTAAACGACAATAGCGACTTTGTGTCGAGTAAATATTACCGAGGTCACCGAGAGAATGTCATCCACTCAAATGTAGTGTTGTATTTTAGTTTGTATCGCTATTAATGAAGTTATAATGCAAGTGAAGTGTTAATCGAAAGTAATATTCCTAACGAGGACACAACAGAAGCTCTTATCGCTCTCTAAATTCATACATATGGTGTAATGACCATTTTGATTTCTGTATCTGCATGCTCTATTTGATTGTATGCATACAAATTTTGAAGAAGTCAAGCAGTATTGAATTTCGATTTGAATAAGATCTTATACATTGTTTGATATGTTTTTTTGTAATGGATTTTAAATTCATAAAGCATTTTGTACATTGTATGGATATTAAAAATAGCAAATAATGGACGTATATAGAAAAGAATAAATACGGATATACACAAACATATGCATTGTACATAGAATGTATGTATACACATTCATGTTTTGTGTAACTGTGTATACAGACATGTTTATAAATACAAGTACTAGCCTGTACATATGTACATACATATAAGCTTGCATGTGTTTGGTCATGTTTGCCGTTCATGATCTTGTAGTTTTATTTTTTTATTTCTTCTTTTTCTTACTGTAAAGCTCATTTTGTGCAGCCATCTCCGGTGAGCAGTATTGAGCACTTAAAATACAGTTGATCTTGTTCATGTCATTCATTGTGCAAAAAAAAATAAATAAATAAATGAATTTATCGAGAGCTCACTTCAGTTTCTTTGCCTTTTTTGCATAGTTGTTGACATTACGGCTGGGTAAAAAATATCGATATCTCGATATTAATTGATTCTCATTTTTACGGAACGATATCGATTCTTAAATCACAAGAATCGATTATTCTAGCCTGTTTTCAGTTAATGGACGGAACATTGAAGGGGACGGAACGTCCCATCCAATATATCGCAATAAGCATTGTGCTTTGGTACTTATAATATAAAACAAAGTCTGAGATTTCAAATTCTGTCCGTTGTATTACAGTATTCAAACAATAAATGCCATTTTGGCGCTGTTTAATGTGGAGTGACAGATCGCTGTAGCGCCTTAATTCAACAGTTTCAGCACAAAATAAACATGACTAAACATCCGAAGGTAAGTTGAAAGAGTACAACTTTACAAGCCGTATCTTGTCTCATGTAATCGCTCAATCAGTGTTTCAACCGTGCAAAGGCGTCAATAATGGCTTGTAAACAATGTCACGTAACGTCACATTTACCTCAGAAAAACATATTCGGTGACCATAAACTCATTAGTCAGCTAGAAAAATAAACTGTAGAGAGGGGCATTTTGCAAAATATATGCACCATATAACATATTCATTATACATTTTACTGTTCTTCAATGTTTAATTTATGTTTGAATAAATCCATTAAGATTTTATGACAGCCACCATTATGTTTATATTTAAAAAAAACTAATTGAAGTAGAAATATTATGTAATTGTAACTTTATTATTTAAAAAAAAACTTCATTAAGTGTAATTTGAACAAATCAGTAAATTTGAACCTTCAATATTATAGTAATGTAGAAACTGACTCTAAAGTATATTTTGCAGCATTAGTTGAGAGATTTTTTTGACATGCACTGTACCTGATATATATCCAAAATAATCGATATTGAATCGAATCGGTAATCGACGCAAGCTTGTGAATGAGAATCGAATCGAATCGTGAAATTTGTCAAAACCCAGCCCTAATAGAAGTCCAGCTCAATTTTATATTACACTCATATTTGAGTTTTTTTTAGTTTCACTGGTTCCGAATGAACAAAACTCCCTCCAAAAAGAAGCATGTAAGCTTCAGTGGCTCCTTCAAGCATAGAAGGCTATTTTGTCTCGAGGTGGAAAACCCTTTAGTTTTATTTGCTGAATGATCGACTGGGACAAAACAATCCCTCCCAAAGTTTCAAGGAGGATGCTTGGAGTCCTGTTTTAAATCCCTCTCTTGAGGCAGACTATTAGGGCTGGGTTTTGACACAAATTTCACGATTCGATTCAATTCTCATTCACAAGCTTGTGATTCGATTCGATTACCGATTCGATTCAATATAGATTATTTTGGATATGTATCAGGTACAGTACAGTTTTCTCAAGGAAAAAAAATCTCTCAACTAATGCTGTAAAATATACATGAGAGTCAGTTGGTACTACATTACTATAATATTGAAGGTTAAAATTGACTGATTTGTTAAAATTACACTTAATGAGGTTTTTAAAATAATAATCGAATCGCAAGTTTGTGAATGAGAATCTAATCGAATCGTGAAATTTGTGTCAAAACCCAGCCCTAGTTGACATGTTAGTCATACTGAGAAAACTATTTTTATTTTAAAATATTTTACAAGCCATGTACACTGTCATTAAGAAATTTGGGGTCAGTAAGTTTATTTTTATTTATTAATTTTTTTAAATAAAGCATTGGTGTCAATGTGCAGTTTAGGAGAGGGAATCCCCCAAGCCATGTACACTGTCATTAAGAAATTTGGGGTCAGTAAGTTTATTTTTATTTATTAATTTTTTTTAATAAAGCATTGGTGTCAATGTGCAGTTTAGGAGAGGGAATCCCCACTCATCAAGCTCTACACCTCATACATTCCCTCTCACTGCATTATTACCACACTGCATAGTAGAGATAAACGGATTGGCCCGAATCCCAGCCGTTGGTTGGTGAAGGCGAAGTGAAAAGCATCTAACCATAGGCCTGTGCCTCTGTAAAATTGCTGTTGCCATGGCAGCTGGGTGAACTGCCCAAATATTCCAGTGCTCCACTTGGCTTGAAAAAAATGTCTCATGCCAGGTTGATGAATGCATAGGCTACTGCTTCTGCAACGCTGCAAAATCTCGTCAATATTATGTGTTGTTACGTGAGACTGTAATTTCTGTTGAAAAGTCATAATTGTGCTTTGAAATAGAAAACAGATGAGAGGGGTCTTGCTATTAGAGGTAATGGGGTGCAGATGATAACGAGGGTTGTTTGTGTGAATCATGTTGGCGTGACTCATCTGTGGCACTACTGCTATGTGTCGCTCACAGCGTAGCCATGTTACCCCTAATTATGTGAGTTAGGACTTGACATGCATAAAAAGAGAAATAAACAAGCCAAAGTAATTTGCTGTTCCGTAACTGTACTTCACTGGATCTGCTTGCAGTCAACGTCTTGACATCGACCGTTGACATGCTGTAAAATGTCAGCTAAAGTAAAATGTACGCTATTAGGTACAACTTAAGATTATGTTCCAACTGATCTTCATAGACAAACATAGCAAGTAATTATGAAAATAATTTATTTGATGTTTAATTCCATACTGGACAGAATATTATTTCAAATATAAACAAATAATTTTTTCATCAATATGTATTTAACTGTATGTCCAAATATACAATATATTATTATTATTATATTTTAATCCATTTTACATTTACCTGAAATGTATTTAAAGTTTGTAAATGTTTAGATGCCCCTTGAACTACATTTTGTAATATATAAGTACATATTATATTATTTTGGCATTCAAGGCTTAAACATATTTCCTTAAGATGTGCAGTTTGCAACATATAATTGTACATATATAGCATATGTTTGAAATGTATTCATTTATTTAACGTTTAATTTTTTTCAAATGTTTATTTATTAGTTTTATTATAATCATTTTATTATTTATTTTTAATATTTATTTATTTGTTTGTTTTTGCAGTATGAAATAAACTGCAAATAAACAGTCAGGAATTTATTTATTTATTTATTGCAGTATGAAATATTCTGAGTCAGGGAGTATATCTAAATTATAATAAATACATTTTAATTATTTTATTTATTTTTTTATATATATATTTTAGTATGAAATAAGTCAGTGAGTCAGGAAGTATCTCTAAATTGATAAATTAATTCAATTAATTCTATTTATATATTTATTGCAGTATGAAATAAACAGAGTGTGTCAGGAAGTATTTCTAAATGACGTTCAAAGACGACTGGTTTACTGTTAAAATGGATTTGACCCATAGCCTCTCATTATCTGTATTTTTTTCTAGACTGAAATGCTTCAGATTTGAGGGTCTGCACAGAAACAGGGCTACGTGAGTCCTCCTGCATACACACATTGCATCAACCTGATTGAAAAACCCTGTAGAAAGCAGAAATATTCTATAGCAAATCACTTCCTCTCCATCTGCCTGCAATTACCTCAGCTTGAATATAGCCTCCTCTCCCACTTGACTCCCTCCCATCTATGATTATTCCTCAAAGCACCACTTACTATTTGGGTTACGCTTCACAATGTGCATATATGTCGCAGGACGCAAAGGATGCTATTCTTTATGATTGGCAACTGGCAGGGTAGCAGCTGCGGTTGCTACGGTGACAGCCTGACTTGCAGCAATTTGGATAGCGAATGAAGCTGTTAGTGTTTTGAGGACTACGTGATGAGGGTTTTAAAACACACTCGCTCCAGAGCCCATCAGCAGCCCCCTCACTCAGGATTCGTGATTTACATGTCAGAGCAGAGTCAGAATATGATACTATCTCTCTATCCCCTGGGAAATCTTGATGTATAAGGATGAACGCTTAAAAATCCCACGAAGACTGTTTTATGCCACAGAGAATGTATGAAAAATGAATGAAATTGAAAGGTGTAAGTTCATGAGAGAAATGAAAACCGGGTGTCTTTGATAGTGCAAAGCTTGTTGATCATCGGAGTGAGTCTCAAACTACCAAATTAGACCCAAAACATAAATAGTCATAATTCCGTCATGAACAGTATCATAAGACTTACCATCAACCATGAATTTTTTATCCTTAAATCGAATTAAATTTTAATATTATTATTTAATAAAAAATAATAATAATTAAAAAAAGGGTTGGGTACACTGACTGACCGACGCAATTTAATGTTAGTCCTATAGTTTGATTATTTATATATATGTGACCCTGGAGCACAAAACCAGTCATAAGGGTCAATTTTTCGAAATTGAGATGTATACATTATCTGAAAGCTGAATAAACCATTGATGTATGGTTTGTTAGGATAGGGCAATATTTGGCCGAGATACAACTATTTGAACATCTGGAATCTGACTGTGCAAAAAAATCTAAATATTGAGAAAATCATCTTTAAAGTTGTCCAAATGAAGTTCTTAGCAATGCATATTACTAATCAAAAATTAAGTTTTGATATATTTACAGTAGGAAATTTACTAAATCTATTCATGGAACATGATCTTTACTTAATATCCTAATGATTTTTGGCATAAAAAAAAAATCTATAATTTTGACCCATAAAATGTTTTTTTTGGCTATTGCTACAAATATACCCCAGCGACTTAAGACTGGTTTTGTGCTCCAGGGTCAAATATTGTCTCCCAAATTTTTCACAGACATGAAAATATCCAAAGGATGTGTCATTAGTAACCCCTTGAAATAATAATTCTTTTTTGAAATTTTTATGGAAACGCGTGAGTTTTATGGTTGGTCACAGTTGTGACCTGCGGGATAATGTGTATATTGAAATTCAATTATTTCTGTAGTCATCAAAGTTCTTATATATCTCAGCCCAGTTATTAACCCAATTTAAACTAGGGTTACTATTATACATAAAACCCCTTTGACAACACTGATAGGTATACTGAGATAAAAGACAAAAAAAAAGTTATTATCCCACCGGTCACTATTGTTGCCTTCAACATGTTTACTCATTCTATAACCACA